AAAAATTGAAGTCGGTTCACAAACTTAAGTTAAAAGTAAAATCTCTGCTGCATAACTGTTTGTATACAATTAGAGACTCTACTGATTATCAAAAAGAAAAATAATCTTTATTTTAAGAAAAAAGAAAATTAGTTTACATTGGCATTGTATAATTTTTTTAAAAAGACTTAATTTGTTTGTAACAAATAATGTACTTCAACTTCCGGGTCAATGACCCCCATCTTGATCAGGTTTTTGTCCAGTTTCCCTGATCCACTGAGCAAATGCTGTGATGGCCTGTTTTGCTTCTGTACGTAAATGTAGCTTCACTATGGGCACGTTTTGTTGAACTCTCCTTTTATTTATAATGATAAGAGTAGAGGTAAGGGCGAGTTGCTAGTTTGTTAGCAATGTAGAAAAATCATACTTGCAATTAGTGTACCGATGCAAATAATTTTTCTATAACTTAGAAACGAAAATGACAATTTTTCAAATATTGATAATCTTACGATTTTTAAAATTTATTTATGTTTAACTTTTACTCATATTATATATTTATCATTTATACTTAAAATGACGGGAATGGATTCTGGAACTCTAGAGAACGTGCGCAGATAATCTTTTCCCCCCTACTTCACATTCAGTTTTTACTGGTTTTTTGACTGAATAAATCTAAATCTAAATCTACTGAGGTTGAAAAGAAATTATAATACTGCTGAATGTTTATTGATAAACAGAGCAGAATATACAAAATGTGGAGGAATGATATCAACTTCTCACATTACCCTTGAATGTCTTAACTCCAAAACCGAAGGAATTCTTGACTTCAAAACGACAGATATGAAATATTTAATTCAATTGAAAGTTTCACATCAATATTAAACAATTTAATATGGCTGGTCTTCATAAAATGATCTTAATTATTGTAAACATTTATTGTACCTAATATTTCTGTTTGTTATAATTTATAAAATGTATCTCTGGTGTAGAACTTTATATTTAATGATTCTGATAGTTATAATGCATAATAACTTATTTAAATGTAAATTAATAGTGGTCGCTAAGGAAAGTAGGCTAATTACCTTGTTTATATAGCAATATGAAGTCAATAAATAAAAAAGAACAGACAGACGGAAAGACTTAGGTTCATGCGATTAAATTAAACAGAATAGCGAATAGTAATCAATTCAATGATACACAGATTTCGAAATACCACGCGTTTTTTATCATCTAAACCAAGCGGTGGGGGGCTCAAAGAGGTATATCTTAAAAAATATTTAAAAAGGCCCAGAGAGTTTTCACAACCAATAACGGTCCAAAAAATGTTTTACCTTCGGAAACTAGAAGCTGTTATCTAAGATTCTAGGACGCACGGTTGCCGAGTTATGCACGATGGTAACATGTATTGAAAGTTGTATGTGCGCCTGCTGAATTCTTTATCGCGTAATCTACAAAATTGAGACTTTTCGTCTCGAATCTGTTTGATGCTCTTCCCGGGAAAAATTGCCCTTTTCAGGAGTACCACATTATAAATCGTGGAAAATTGTCTTGTGCCTGTGAATCGTGACTTGTAAATCGTACAAAATTATCTTATTAGCAAATTATATGGAGAACATTTGGAGAGATAATCTAGATAATAATACAACATTGCGGATTTGCATTATTGTATCATATACACTAAAAACTATTTAAGATTCGAAGACAATCTCATGTAAACATTTTATTTAATCTGAAATAAAAACGAAAATAATTCCTATAATAAAAATTTTAGCGAACCCAATAATCATCATAAGGGTGGTCTTGTAAGAAAGTTTAAGACAAAGAGTTTGAAGAAAATTATAATGTTATATATCATTATAGTAATGTTCTTTGTCGATATATTTCAGTATTCTCTTTATATCGTCCATTAACTTACAAAAACTTAATCAATAATTCTGATCAGTTAGCCTGGCCGTCATATTAATACGAAGGGGATAATGTCACTTGTTTCTGTATAATTGCTTCTTTGTGACAATGTGAAACATTTGAAACAATATAGTAGTGTAATATGATGTACATTCAAGAACAAGATAATTTATTGCTATCATACATTACACTTCTAGGTACTGGATCGGAAAGCCAGAACCCTCGAGTTGTCATGCCTTCCTGCCTTTCTCAGTCCTGAAACATTAATTTGAGCTACATCTGAACACTTCGTTGAAGGCAAATCGATTCATTCCTGCCTTGAAAATATCGATGTCGAGCAGCCGTGCGTTGCCTTTGATAACAAGGAAGCATAAGGGATACATCGCACTAATAGATCTAATAGAAACTTTTGGATTCAGATGTGAGCGGCGTGTTTTCTGATGCAAGAACAAAACTTTTACAAACCATTTTCTAATTTTATAATAATAATAATAATAATAATAATAATAATAATAATAATAGGAACAAATTACTTTTAGTTATTGTGAGGATCAGTTGAACGGAAACCAATTGTGTTCTGCTCGATCCCCAACTGAACTATCAAGAACCTCCGTTCAGTAATAAGTTGTTCCTTTTATCTTTCATATATGTACGTACATTGTCATAACAGCTCTTTACGAGCTAAGGCCTACTAGCAGCGTCCCTGACTTGCGGCCATGGGTACGTGTGGTTAGCACATAGAATCTTTAACTTTCATATTGACTTCAAATTCTAATACTGAAACATTAAATATGCCGTGATTTCTTTGTTCCAAGATTATAAAAAAGTCAAGGGAGAATCAACAAACAGACGATTACTTTAAGAATAACTAGGTTTATTATTATACATAACCTAAATAATAATGACTATTACGGGATGAGTAAGTGCACATAGTTACCACTATTCTGTAACAATTGTTTAAAACGGAATTACATTCAGAAGGTGGTGTTTATGACTAATACTTTCCGACGGAAAATGCTTTTTCCGGGCAAAGCAGATGGTTCTGAGTTTACGCCAGATTCAGCACGCCCGCTGTTTCTGCGGTGACTCTGACCATGAGGTTCTAGGAATCGAGTCTGGACAAAGGTGGTTCGACACAAGCTATAAAGTTAGGTTTCATTCAGCCGCTGTCTGGAGGAGGATTCTAGAGTCGGCTGATAGAATCCTTTGTTTTTACGATCGATACCAAGCGTATGTCTGAGCATAATCCTAATAAATGGGCCAAAGACTCTATCTTTCCTTCCTCTTCCTCGTCTTATCCAAGGTTACACACATACTTACATGCTCTATATTATCAAACATGTCGAGGCTCCAGTCGGGAGCTAAGAGCTTGTTTAGCATCGTTGGGGAAGATACCCGGAGGCCCAAGCCCCCTACAAGCCAAAGTGCAGGTCGGCGCAGGAGTTCACCGTTCAGAGGACCAGAAACACTGCCCCCTCCCGTGATATAACATGAACTACCCTAATGAGACCACAGAAGGTAACAACAATCAATAAAACCCATTCTTCTTTCGCGCCCCTTGAGCCTTCAAAGTTATGGAATTTGGCTGTTGAACCGTCTCCATTGGGACTGTTAAATGTATTAAGAGAAAATTATTTCAGTTCAGCAATCACCTTAGTATTTTGACTTTAGATTACTTGTCCGGAATTAATAAAATTATTGATAACCGTAAAATAGCAGTGCAATAAATGGAAAACTAGCTAATTAGCCCATTATCCCTTACGACAATAAGGGATATGTCAACTATAATGATAATATTATTTAAATAAAACATACATAAGCTTCAAAATTAATATTATAAATTTAATGAATTTTAAATTAATACAAATATAGGAAAGACTTGAGCTTTGGGAGAAATATATTATAAAACCCAATACTAGATTTCAGATTTATTCTAATTGGATACTGCGCCACAACACAAGGTGAGAGAGAAAAAACAACAATATGAATACTAATAATAGCTCTACAGCAAAAGATATAAAAGGAATGTAAAAATTTACATCTCGAAGTTAGTGATATAATAATGATGATAATAATATCAATAATAATAATAATAATAACAACAGCAGAATTGTACTTATCATAATATTACTTAAGGCAAATTGAAAACTTTGTCATAATTACAAAGATTATTATTCTTAATGAAAGACTTTGAAAAAAAACAGAAAACAAACCAAGGAGAGTGTTCTTACAGTATCTCGGAAGGGTTATTTTCATAAACGACTATAAATATTTAAGAGAGAGATGAAAGGAAAAAGAGAATATAAAATAAAATGGGGTTCAAAGGAACGTGCAGTCTATTGACAGATTTCTGATTTTGGAAAAGTGCTTATAAAAGAACACTAAAGTAGACAGAAGAATGGATTGTGAAACTAAATGATTGGATAAATAGAATAATGAAGCAGATAATTAGAAACCTCTTAAACGCGAAAAAAGGTACGTTAGAAAGAAACCTGCAATGTAAAGAAAATATTCCAGTGCACAGAGTCCACAAATTGCCTTATTTCTATTTTCTAAAACAAGATTTTAAGTACTTAGAGGGAAAAAAGAAGAAATGAGTAGAATTATAAGACAAAGGGTACGGAAAAGAAGAAAAAAAAAGAGGAGAGAAAAGCAAGAACGATAAAAGGGAAGATAAAGCCATAGGGAAATAATAGGATATTAAATTTAAAAAAAGGGTTTACCTCAGCGTGACTTTTACGCCATTCTCCATTAGAAGAATGTGCTCGAAATAACAAAAGTATTTCAGAGCTACATTACATATTAAATTATCTGACCGTTTCTAATTCGTATTTTTACTCTGCTAGCCAAACTTTGAATTCAGTTTTTACTATAATGTTATTTTTTTAGCTTTGAGTAAATAAATCACTTTGTTGATGAAGTTACTCATATGAAATGCATTACAAATAGAAAAATATGAGAATAAAGATGAATACATTACAAATGGAGCAAAGTGTAATAAATACGCAGAGACAAGGTAAAAAAGACAAAGAGTAAGTTCATCAAACTGAAAGAGGCCAGCGATTGCAAATGGAGCGCAAGGAAGCGAGGCAAAGCGGAAGGAAGCCATCACTTACGCCAGAGCCACGTCTGCCAGCGTGCGCGCGGCATCACCGTCACGGAGTGCAGCACCCACACGTGCATGACGACGACGATGACGATGTTGTCCCAGCGCATGGTGCGCGCGGTCCACGGCAGCGGGGCCTCGTCCGTGGGCGGCGGCTGCTGGGGCACGTCCGCTAGGGCCTCCAGCTGCTCCTCGCCCGTGGGCGGCGGCGCGGGCGCGGGCGCGGGCGACGCTGTGTCCGAAGCCATGGGCGGCCGCAGTCTGAGCTGTTGGATATGAAGCGGCGGTTCTTTTATGGCTTCGCGCGCGGCGCGCCTCCGCAGGCCGTGGCTGGGCCCCTCTCCCTCCTCCCTTCCCCTCCCCGGCCCTTCGCCCCTCCTTCCCTTCCGCCCGCCCGCCCTCGCCCGCCGCGCCCACCTTATAGCGACATCAAAGAGTCATACGCGCTCCATGCGACAGTAATTACCCTCGTTTGGAGCTGCCGACATCGTCGACGCCGGCGTCAGTATCGCACTATGCTCTTTCGATTAATATTTCACCGACCTCGATCTGTTCGTTAAGTTTTCAGCGTTTTCGATCCACGGCCGCGACCTTGGGCAGACGAAGTTAACAAGAGGCCTCCGCGTCGCCAGATGGGGCAGTTTAACATGCATGTATTATTTCCCCAGCGGCGTTTCGATCCTTTTGAAATAATTCGAACCAGGTCATATCAATATTAATAAACCTTACGAAACTATAACTGGCACGAAATGCGTTAAATAGCATTGATCGAAAGAAAAGTATAGAATAGAAATGCGTAAGAAACTGACAAAGAAACGTTGAAACTACTCTAGAAAATATTCTGAACGTAAATTTCCTTGTGAAACACATTCCACGTAGAAGAATTGGTAAAACAATTTTTTTCGTGTATGAAGAGACGTCCTGTGAATTGTTATAATTTTTATCAATTTTGAAACCAACTAGAACGTGAATATAGGACTGAACATCTTACCAGGCATCTAGGCTGCAAGAGAGCTGAAGTGTTTATACCAGAGTAAATACAAGCTCATTTTAGGGTCGTTGTTCTTAAAGTTTTACGGCTTGTGGCTCACATTTAGGTGATTGGAAGACTGGCCGCATGCCAAAATACGTAAGTTATTCAAGCTGACAATCTGATTTACGTTACTTAATTGTGATACACCGTCATATAATGGCATAAATTGAAGTAGATGCTGAACTCTCTAGCATACTGGCCTTGAGAAGCTACTTAGTGCCATTAAACACGTATAGAGCTGGCTTTGACACCTTATCTAATTCGACACCAGGACTAATACGTTCTGAAGACATAAAAAGCAAATGCATTTTATTCTTACATTTTTCGATGAAATGAGCAAGCATTAAAAAATCCAGCTTATCATTTTTGCATTCTTAATTATTTTTCGAAAGTAATTTTTATATAACGTCAAAAGTAACGTCGTTCGCGACTTAAATACAGTCCTACAACTCTTTTGAAATACATCCATTTTTAAGAAGCTTGTCCAGTCAGCATACTTCATAGATAATTGTACATTATTTGTTATCCGAACATTTTTTAATTTTCATGCCCATTGTTTGTTTCTTACAATTAGTTACAATGAAGTTCTGGCAATTTTATATGAACAAAGTAAATACTTGAGCAAAGGTGATATTCTATTAAGTCCGACTTTTTCATAAATTAAAGACTAAACGAAGCTGTATCATCTTTCTTTTTTCATTATTATTACTTTAATATAATTTTGCAAATTTCTACAAACTTTGATAGAAATTCAGATTGTCACAATTCAGGTTTAGAGTTCTCTAAAATTCATAAGTAAAAATGCATATGTTTGAATTAATTATCCTTTACAAATATCGGCATATTTTTAGTTCCCATTTACTATATAATTTATTTATTCAACGAACTAAGCCGAATACCTAGCCTCAAAATTCAAACCCATTACAATAACATTTGAGGTTTTCACACACAAATAGAAGAATATGAACCAAACCCCTACCAGAGTACCACATCCCATCAAATTTAACTCAACAACAGAAATTCACAATATTATCAAAAAAGTTGAAAAACAAAAAATCACCCGGTTGTGCATCGCCAATGTAACCTTCAGACAACATCCAAACTTGTATTACTGTCATAAAAGCCATTTTTAATGCTGCGCTCCGTTTAGAATCTTTACACAAAAATGGAAACATGTTACGAGTATAGTACTTCTCTTTAACAAACCTAAAACCAACCCTAATGAATCCACAATCTACAAACCTATTGGCTTGTTCCTTTCTCTCCTCAAAGTCTTAAAAGCTATTAGTAAACCGCTAACTTCCTCAATGCCAGCAACATCATGGCAAAAATTCAATTTGGCTCAACCACTCACCTACCTACCCTCTTCTCAGGCTAATTAACCAAATAGCAAATAGCTTTTACACCAAAAAGCGCCCAATTACATTATTCTTCGGCATTTCAAAGTCTTCGATAGCATTTGACACAAAGGATTTCTTTTCAAAATTAAGCAGCTAGATACTTCAGACTTTCTCCCAAAAATTCTCCAGCTACTTATCTAACAGAATTTTCTAGTCAAACACCCGTAACTTATAGTGACATAATATTTCTCTATCTTTATGTACCTTTACATTCATTTTTCGTTCTCCAATTCCTACAGCATCCCCTCAATCTTGTCTTCGCATTTTCGAAAATTCTACATCTCTTGTCTTCTTAATTCCACGTTTTTCAAGATTTTGTTTTGTATTTACATACAAAATATATTCATCTATTGATGTGTATTTGTGAATTCTGAAGTTGGGATACTCACCAGTAAAACCAACTTCTCACCTCGTTCTCAACTAAACCTTGCTATCCTATTCCTATTATTGTTATTTTATTCTCATTTAAGGTATCTCGGTTTACCGCATCTTACTTTTTAGAATTCATTGTACGTCATTGCATCAAATGCTGTGTTCTTTAAGGTAAATTATTAATTTTCAACTTCATAGTTTTGAATTGTTGACTTTTGCAGTTTTCAAAATATAGAATTTACCGAAAATGGGATTAGCACCCCTTTTATCGGTCTTTAATACATACCAGGAGAACATTTAAAGTAAAATGTGGAGCGGCTTTTCAGAAAAAGTTTAAAAATTGCCTATATTTCACTCAAAATCATGCAAAACTACTAATATTTTCTAAAAATTGTTTATGACTTTATTTTAAGATTTTTTAAAATTCAATTTTATTGGAAAAAATCTGTATCTTCAATATTATAGTTACAGGAAGACGTCGAAAAAAATGTTGAACTTATTAAATTTTCCAAATATCAGGAAATTAAACGAAAATGAATCATGAGCCATTATTTTAAGGTGTCTTAACTCTATCCGACGACGAAGTTTAATAAAAACAATTAATGCCATTTTTAAGAAAACATTTAAAATGTTTTTGAAGCATCATGTAAAGTACCCCAAAAATTAAATATCCATTTTAAACTTAGTTTTCGAGACCATTTACATCAATCCAGGAATATAAATTTGGAGAAAATCGGCTTAACGTTGCACAGATGGCGTTTTGTCGTCAATAGATTTTTCGGTATCTAAGATCCAGAAGTCGTAAATTTGTACTACACATGTTAGAGAACTAATTTAGTATATGCATGAATAAATATATATATGATAATAATAATAATATATATATATACTATTTATATATATAATATACATATACACACACATTACGTTTCCGGTACTAGAGCAGGTCTATAGGGCTTTTTCTTTCGAAAATTCTCCGTTTTCAACTCACTATTACAATACTTTATCTTCTTACGAAGTAAAGGAGAGGAAGTAAAAAGTTATCTGAAATCTCTGACCGGGAAATTACTTGATGAAAAACGACCTTACATGATTTTAAATTATTTATATTTTTGTAAGATATAACGACATATCCATTTATGAATACGAACCATCTATTTTTAAAACCTTACTATACTTGGAATTAGAAAATTATAATATTTAAAAACTTTGATTTGAGGTACTTACCTTTGATAAACCTTATTGGTATAAGCCTACTTTGTAAACAACTTTCATGTTCATTTATTTTACCTGACAGCATTTAAAGCCCTTGAAGGCAATTCCTTGACTGTGTTTTTATTTATTTGGAAATACTATAATCTTGCATCGGAAAACGGCGACTTTTCTACAGAAAAAAACTCTTATGGCTTTCGTACCTGTTAAGAAACAACGAAAAAAATCTTGTTCCTTTATATAGATTCTAACGCTTCGTGTAGTCAGAATCCATGTGTTGCAGATCCTTGATACTGAAATATCAATTGACAGCAAAATGTCTCTCAGTCTGGATACAACGCTACCGTCAAACCGTTCGGCTGATTTTTTTCAAAATTGATATTTCTTGATCGAACTAAATGAACTCAAGGTCTTCTAAGTTTAAAATAAATTTGAATTATCAAATTTTCTCAAAAGTGACACCAAATTTTTGGATGAAACTTTGACCTCGAATAGTGTAATCACTTAAAAAAATTGTGTGGGTCTTATTTTCTTATATTTACGATTTTTAGAAAATTGCAGAAGTTCAAACTTTAATCGCATCTTTCTACAACTACATTATTGAAGATTCGAGATCTTTTGCTTGAGCATCTGTTGTTCAAAGACAGATCTTGAAGAACGGTCATGCACAATGTTTCAAAAACTTGTATAAACTATCTGTAATTTTGCTTGAAATACAGCGAATTTCTAAACAGCTCTTTTCTAAAAGACAGCTGCAATTTTTCTTTACATTTTCTCGTTTTATGTATCAAAGTACGATGAAAGTGGTGCTAGTTTCATTTTCGGACAACTCTGTATTTTTGAAAATCGCAAAAAGGTAAATTGCAAAAGTATATTATTGAAAACAAATATATTTATCTGAAAAGAAAAAATGTTCTTAAAAAATAAAACCTTAAAAAAGTTTGCAATTTATGAAAAATGAGTCATTTTTACATAATTTCTCTTTGAAATTAATACAAATAATAATAATAATAATAATAATAATAATAATAATAATAATAATTATTATTATTATTCTCAGAACATTGTAAACAATTCTGATTTAATTTTTTCCTACAGGTCGAACAAGGAACGCTTAAAATAAAGAGTTTTCGAAACGGGTAAATTGAGAAAGAATACGAGAAGTATGTGCAAATGTAGCACCAATAACTATAAAGTATTGTGTAAATATAAATTTGAATATAAAGAGATATTATCAATTTTATGTTAT